GAGGGCGGAGAAGAGCTGCACGCCGCAGTCTGCACTGTGCTGCGTCCGCAGTGACCGCTCCCAGGAGTCCCGTGTGGCTCCGATGCTCCCTGCAGCTTTCGTGACTGCTCTCCTCAGTCTCGGAGGAACTGCGGAGCCTGTGGACTCGCTGTTCGTCCCCTGTGCATTTGTCCTCTCCCCAGCCTCAGCTTTTGCCCCTTTCTGTCCTTTTCTCCGCTCTACCGCACAGAGCACCGACACCCAAGTCGCTGAATTCTGGACTCTTTCTACCTTCTGACAAGAGCAGTTTCCCGCGGATTCCTGACACCTGCGCCCTTTCCAGGAGCCACGTCCACCTTGGCCTGCACTAAGCACCTCTCCAGTTCCCCTATTCATTCTGAATTCTAGTTTTCTGTACCCTCATATGGAGTATAAACTGTTGTAGATTTTGTGTTACAATTCTTCAGTATCCCCACTAGTTTGTAAATTAATTAATGCCAAAAATATATTGCCAAATTGATATCAAAATTAACATCTAGAGGAATTAGTAAAAAGTGTCGTTTTTGTGATTTAGTTTGGTAAGCAACACACATTAAAGCTAATTAACGAGAGAGCTTTTGAATTTGGGATTGGAAAGAGAAAATTATGTATCTGAGGAGTAAGTTTCTACTGAGACTCTTAGAAAAACAAAATCTGAGGTTATGCAGTAGCCCACATGTTGTAGTTAGACTTTCATGCCCACAGAGGTTTGCAGGCTATATTTTAGAGAACAAAGAGCTGGAGCTAAGAAATGTAGTGATCATTAATCCTAGGGCCAGAAGACTCCTGAAACCTGTATGGTAGAGTATGACATAGATAAAGAATGCATCTTCATATTTATATCATTTGAATCAATTATGCATAAGCAATTAAACAGCAATTATCTGATTAACCAATTAATATGTAAGCATGTTTTTTAAATTATGTGATGAAGATCTTTCTCCAATGATAATGTCCTCATTTGTCTTCTGAGCTCACATCATCACATAGATTGAACCCTGCCATCAGAGTTGTTCTTTCAAATACAAGCAACTGACAGATAGTCACACCTCTCAGCAATGAGCTGGAATTGCCTTTCAGGCGTGGACTTGACATCTGTGTGTTTTATCCTCTGACACCAGTCCACATCCCCACTTTAATTGTAGAGTATCCCCACCTGTGTCCTCAGCATAAGGCTGGGCTTGCAGCTATGGACAGGTGGGAATAACTGGACAGAGAGGACCAGGGCAAGTTCCCTTGAAGAGTGAGGGGAAGAGAATCTCCTGCACTCAGTGCACCTGTATTCATGAACACTTCTGCACGTCCCATGTATAAATATGGGATTCAGCCTGGGTGGTGGATGCATGAATATCTGTTACACTAGCTTATATATTCAATGTGTTCCCATAGCTTCCAAATTACTTAGGGCCCTCCTGGGCCTCACACATCGGGGAAGCAGGGACATGGGAGACCCTCAGATCCTGACTTCCTGAGAGTCACAGTGGGCTGAGGCTCAGTGTCTCTGCCCTGCTTTCTCCTGGAGAAAAGACCCAAGGACTTGAACCCAGCAACCAAGTGAGCCGGTGTCTATCTGTGTCTAACCAGCTGCTTCCTGTCTTTCAGAAGCCTTGTTTCCCCGGGT